CCTATGTTCACATGCTCAAAAATGGAAGGCAATCCAGTATTCTGTGCTTCAGGAGGGAATCTCCCCCACCATCCTTGCATGTGGGACATATTCTGGAGGTCCTCGCCTCACTAATGGACAAAGTCCTCTCATTCTCATCCATAAAGGTCTATCTGGTTGCTGTCTTGCTACATTGCTTGATGCCTGGCCAAACTGACTCCCTTTTTGTCCACTTGTTAGTGAAGCAATTTCTGAAAGGTCTCTGCAAACTTCTTTGTTACATCCCTCAAATGTGGAATGGTCACTCGCCTTCGTGCGGGTTCAGTTAATGAAAAGCCCTTCCAAGCCCACAGCATGATGTGATTTCCAGCTACTTACCTGTCAGTGGGGTTTCACCTCTCAATGTGCATCCATCATTACCAGATGGATGTCCATACGAGGACAGAATCCTTCTTTGGCAGAGGAATCCTCTCTGTACACCCAGATCGACCCATCCCACCTACAGTAAGTGAACTCACAATCCTCCATATGTGTGAGTTACTGAGACCACAATAAAAAGGATAGGTTGCAGTTGTATCTGTGGTTCCTCAAGTGATCATCTGTGAATCCCACTCTCCTTCTCTGCATGTCTCCAGTGCAGGGATCAGTGCAGCCTTGGTGCGAGGGACTTCATCTGAGGCAACAGGTCTGACAGGGCAAGGGTAGAGAGACCAGTAGTTGTCCAGGGACATCTCACTCACTGGAACTGCCTGATCCTTCCGCTGCTCATTGTGCATCACAGTGACACAAAAAAATAGTTCTCACAGGTCCCATAACCTGGTGCCAGTCTACTGCCCTACAATTGTTTGGATACTAAGAAAAACAATCATATATATCATATATATATGATCGTTTTTCTTGGTATCCAAACAATTGTAGGGCAATATACTGGCACCAGGTTATGGGACCTGGGGGGGAATCCCAGCTGGCTATTGGCATTTAGAAACAGTGGCCAAAATCCCGTTGGTTAGCATAATAAATCACACAAGCGTAGGCCCATTGAAATTAATATAGATTTAGTGATTCAACTCCTCTCCAAGTTCCATTGTTTAAAATGGAGCTACTCTAATTGTGACTTACTATGCTACAGTAAGTTGCTGTTTGAGTAGGCCCATGTGAATCGGAACTTACAGAGGTAACTCTCCAAATCCCTATTGACTCAAGGGCCTACTCTAAAGTGCAATTTACTATATGATGTCTGTATTGTACTACCTTAGTATGGATTAGCTTGGCCTTGGTTTCCACTGACACAATTTTACACTTAGAGATCTTTTATAGCTTGTTAGTGGATGGGGCTAACATAGCCCAGTTTTTCTCCTTTTCTTCTCCTTTGCAATGACTTCCCATTTAATATTGAATTCAGCTGGAGAATTGTCACATATGATCGTTCAGAAGGCTTCCGAACAACCAGACCTCATGTTCTGCGAGGGAAAACACTGTGGTTCCTACTATTCTCAGTTTTTAGCTCTTTGGCTTTCATAACTGAAACCTTGTTGAGTGAAAAGGAATGTCTCTGTGTTCATTTAATCAGTTGTGTCTGCCACGGTCCCACATATGGAGTGGTGGACTCCCAGGGATCGATAATGAGTCCTTTCTCCTACTAAGGTACCTTTCCAGATTGTTAACTTGGACAGGTTATGGGGATCACATAAATGGAAACTACAAGGGATTAAGCAAATTTTTTTTGAGAGCCACTGTTTAGTGAGCAGAGACTACCATTCTTACAACTCCTTGTAGTTCCCATGGAATTTACCAAGTACCATTCCCACCTCTCTCTCCCCCTTTGCAATGGCTGCAGAGAAGAACATGCTGGACCTTAGCTGTGGGTGCTGACACTCCTTGGAATATTTGGATTTTTTGGCTACAGATGCCAGAATTCTGTCTGGGGTGGTGGTGGAATTCCTGGTGAATGGTGGGAGTTGTAGTGAAACCCACCACCAAATATCCTATGCCTAGTCATGTGGTAGCTATCATTCTGTGTCCGCATTAGTCCTGTGAAGATTGAACTGTTTTGGCCTGGGGCTAGCTCAGGGTAACATACCTTTCTTTGAAGGTTTTACCAAACAGGAATCATGAAAAGCAATACAAGGAAATGCTGCTTTCTTTGTCCTTTCCTCTTCAAAAAAAAAACAAAAAACCCTTTCTTACTTCGTAAGTCATTATTACAGGCGATGCTCAGAAACCTCATATTTGCATTTGGATTAATCCCTCAGGCATAGTTTATAGCCTGAAGTCCAGCAGAAGATATCACTAACTTTGGGGCTGTTTCATTGTTTTTTTCCACTAAACATTTGGTTCTTAGCATGAAGCTTGAAATTGTTTATAAAGGAAATAACTTGGTTTTGCTTCAGAAACAAAAACAATGTAATTTCAAAGGATGAGTTATGGGATTCATTAATCTTGCCATGCTGATTGGGCCGTTACACACTTAGCAAATGAGACCATGTGAGGAACTCTAGTTGATGCACACCTTTTTCAGCCAAAGGTTGTTCCTCCTTTATACTTTGCATCTCCTGGTCTTGATGTACTGCCGTACAGTGGTGCCCCACATAGCGAGCATCCCGTTTAATGACGAATCCGCATAAATGGCAGCCGGATGGAGGATTTCCGCATAGTGGTGAGTTTTTCCCCTATAGGAATGCATTAAACCCGTTTTAATGCATTCCTATGGGGTTTTTTGCCCCGCATAGCGATGAATCTGGATAGCGAAGGTTTTTTTGGAATGGATTAACGTCACTATGCAGGGCACCACTGTACTTAAGTCTGCAGCCCCGGTAAAGTAAAAAAAATACTTAGAGGATGTTTTGACAGCAAATAGGTAATGAGCAGAGAGATTACCAGCCTCATAGCTTCAGGTCCTAGAAAACTTTGTGTCCTAAGTGGGGGAAGTGAGTATGGATTAATAAATGGTGCAGAAGGTAAAAATCACAGAATATAGTCTAGGAATGCCAGCAGAATAATAATTGTAGGCCCTGTTCCCACTGCTGGAATAATCTAGCAGAGGGATCTCTTTTTTCGATTTGAGCTAAAGTTACCTTGAATTTAGTCTGAATCCAAAACTTTTGTCCCGTTGTGTGCATCCTTACTGCCACCACCTCCTTCTCCTCAGTCTTCTTGCTGCTTCCACTACTGCCACTGCCATCTCTATCACTGATCATGTGGGCCTGCTCTGCCAAGATGGGGGGACAACGGGGGAGTGGAAAGGCAGGGGGAGGATGATGAGAGGGAAAGGGGTGGAAAGGGAAATAAGAGGCAAAGGGTGAGAGTGGAAGGGCAAGGTGTCTGAGGGGTGGGCAGGGGGCAAGTGATGGCGTGGAGGTTGGGTAAATGGGTGAGCGATTGGGTAGGCGGGGCAAGCAATGGGGAAGAGGGATTGAGTGGGCAACTGAGTGAGTGAGTAAGTGAGTGAGTGAGTAAGGGGGCAAGGGGGAGGCCACCAGCTTTTTTTAACAAATCCTGTTATTGGGTCTAGTACTTCCAGAGAAATCTCCCTGGAAAAGACCCTGATGTTGGGAAAGAGTGAAGTCAAGTAGAGAAGGGGACGACAGAGGATGAGATGGTTGGACAGTGTCATCGAAGCTACCAGCACAAATTTGACCCAACTCCGGGAGGCAGTGGAAGGCAGGAGGGCCTGGCATGCTCTAGTCCATGGGATCACAAAGAGTCGGACACGACTAAACAACTAAACAACAACAACTGCATCCAATAGCAGGAATGGTTAGAAAAGCAGATGTGGTGTTCTAAAACACAGAAATGATTCAACATCTGCATCGAAATAAACACACCACTGACAGAGGAACAACTTGCTCCCCTGGCACAGTACTCTGAGTGTGCATGTACTGCACGTGTACGCTAAAATTTAAGTCATTTTCAAAAGAAAACCCAGGGACAACAGTGGTTTTATTGTTAGTGGAATCAAGCCCATAGAGAAGTTGCAGTTTGAGACTGGAGTACATCAAGACTGAGAAAAGTATAGTGCAGATTCCCAGTACTGCCCCATATCCTTGATTGCCCCCTTTATTTTTACCTAAAATGGCTCCTCATATCCTCTGTGGGGCAGAGGGCACCATTGTTTCATGGCTTGGGGGGCCCTAGATGTATTTTGGGCCTGGAGTGCTTTATTTCATAAGCAGAAATGAATTCCAGCTACGTCTGCTTTTGGGAAATGCCTCCTGGACATAAAACAGCTTAGGAAAATGTGGTACAATTCTTCCCAATTGGCCCCTAGGAGGAGCACCAGACCTTTCGATTTACTGTGTTTATTTACTGAATTGTGGAATATTGGGAGCAGAGAGGTAGGAAAATATGTCAGCCAAGAAAATTATTTTCCATAATTTAAATAGCTAAAATTATATAGGACATCTTCTTTTCCTGATTAGTCCTTTGCCCCCAGATCTGGTGGGTATTAGAGAAGATAAAAACCTGGGTAACAAAAATGATAACAATCACAGACACCAGAGCAGAGCTTCAAAAGGGGTGTGCTTTTACCTGACAAAATCAGTAAGGCAAAGTGCACAGTGAACAGAGTGGTCAAAACTAATTTATTTCATAAGAAGTATCTTAAAGTAGCTTACCTTGCCCATGCAAGCAATGGTATCCTGCAAGGGTGATGATGACAGAGGGATTGGTAAAACACCTGAGTATTATATGTTTAGAAAACCTAGGAGCTTCCATCACAGTGTGGAAGATGTTTTTGTTTTACACCTTCCATTGAACGGAAATTTATATTGTCATAATGTCTGGGTACAATACAGTAAGTTGTAAGATGCCCATTGTAAATCTCAGAACAAACACATAATACTGCGTTGACAATCACATATATTTGAATTGGAAAATTTAAACTGGCAAAAGAAACACAGATATGTCATACACTTTCATTTTCATATCAGTGTTTAATTTGGCACTTCTGTTTAAGTAACTGACCCATTCACATGTACTGTATATTTGGGTAGCGCTGAGTGGTCAGTACTGTCATATAACCACTAGTTTTGTGACTTCTCCTCACTTGGATTTTTCACTTTTCCCATGAATAAGATGCACTTGGTCAGCTCATCAATGATCAGAAAGAAGAACGGCCTGTCGATTTTTACTATCGGTGGGAGGGAAGTCGGGACAATCTCAATTACTGTGGTGGCTGCAGCTTCAGTGCCGTTCTCATGGACATTTAGGTAAGCTTTGTGTATCGCCTGCAAGGAAAGGAAGCAAGTATTATCATAGGACAGCAACCTGGCTTTTATATATTACAAGTGAGATCTGATCTACATACCCAGCCTGGAGTAAAGCAGAACAAAGTGTGCTGCGTATATCCCACCCCTTAGTGCTTAAAAGCATTATCTGAATAATTTAATTATGCAGGCTACACATTCCCTGTATAATTATATAGTGGATAGAGTGATGGGTCCTAATCCCCACTCAGCCATGGGAACTGACTGGGGATATGGAATTGTTAAAACCACTCCTTAAATATCTCACTTTCCTGGAAAGCCCTATTATGTCTGTTCCAAATTGATGACACAGAACGACAACATAAGAGACCTGGTCTTATCTCACTCTCTCATCCAATCTTGAGAGCTTGTCCATGTTGTCATATTCCTGCATCATTAGCTTGTGGGGCGCGGAGGCATTGAAGAACTTCCCCAGTGATCTCCTTAGTAACTCCGCACGTCCATCATGAGTTGAAAGTTAGTTTGTCTTTCTGTACATACATAGTGCCCATTTCCTGTATACTGTACAGCCGGGATCTAATGGTTGTTGTGGGTTTTTTGGGCTCTTTGGCCGTGTTCTGAAGGTTGTTCTTCCTAACATTTCACCAGTCTCTGTGGTATACTGTACAGGAAATTCCGCCACACTGCTAGCTGGGTTTGGCAGTGCCCTAATGCACTGTGGGGTGCTGCAGAGGCTGTAGTGTGTGACGACACATACTTTGGGAACCCCTGATTTACTCCATCCTTGTGATTGGACATCCTGATATTTCAGGGTCTCAGATCCCATTGAGAGCCTCCACACACAACAGAAGATCTCCATTTCAGTCTCCCTGCAATGCCAAATGAGGCTGGTCTAGAGTTCAGGTATTCCCTCTCCTGAATACCTAGACAGACTCATGAGGTGTTGTATATCTGGCTTTCTTTGGGAAAGTGAGTCTGGATAGCTTTGGAAGATGATGCCTAAATGTCACTGCTGAGGCAGATAGGTTTTCTTCTGGCTGCTTCACATATAATATTCTTACTTGTATGTATCTAGATGACTTCTGTGTAGAATGTGTGCATTGGTGTCTACTGTCAAATATACAAAATTACACAAATGTCTGTTATGGCATATCTATTTGGAAAATTCTGTCACTCCCCCTCCCCATGGCAAATATTCTTCTATGCAGAGAAGGACTTAGGAATTTACGGTATGCAGGTCTTCTCGCTCTTGAACTACATGTTTTGCTATCTTCAAACAGGGATGTATTTGTTGTCCCCAAAGTAACATGACAATGTTTGATTTCATTCTTGCAGCACAGTTACTTTAGGAAAGCATACCTTTGAAACCTTGACGTTACGTGCCCCAGTAATTCTGGATAGGTCAGCATGGTCTGTGAAAACATCAGTAACTCCCAATTTATTTAGTATGCTTTTAACATCATAACTAGTAAACAGGGAAAACCTTGGAAGGAAAAGCTCTAATCTCCTGTTGAAAGAAGTAACAGAATGTAGTGAGATATCACAATGGTGAATAAGGCTGAACCTTCATATATATATTTTTAGACTGTAGCTTTCATAATTGTATGAATGTATAATTCTATGATGGCTCCTCGGTACTGTATTGAGTATACTAGCTAGCAGAGATAGGGTTTGAAGTTCAGCCATCTCCAGAGAGGCATATGTTCTACAACCCTCCTCTAAGATAATACGTATAAGAAACACTGACCAAAATCCTACTTAACTCAAAATTGCACAATAAACACCAAGGTAGAAATTATATCCAGCAAGCAGTTTGTTTATGTATTTGTTTCTCTTATATAGAGAGAAGCCTCCTGTTAAGGGGACTTAAGATAGCTCTTACAGTATTAAAAACAATAGAATTAAAATACAGTAAAATATACATTTTTTAAAAATTAAACTATAAAACAGATTAAAATGCATTGTATAATTTAAAACATGTAAATGTCAAAACTATCTTCACTAAATAATGGCATTCAGGAACTCAATCTTGATTGTGAAAAGTCTGCAGAAGGATAAAACCTGACTTGCTGAGGGAGAGGATTCCATAGTCTCAGAGCAAGCACAGAAAACACCCTCTCTCATGTCCCCATCAACTGTGCCTGCACTAGCAATGGGACCAAGAGGAGGGCCTCCTATAACAATCAGGCACACAACACAGAATGCTGGCTGTATCTCCCTGCAAACCTCCATGGGCATAACTTGATGCTATACCAAGTGTAATTTCCCACTACGACAATACAGGATTTGAGCCGTTGTACAGGAATTTAGATTGTAATAAAAGGATGAAATGACAATTTTAAAATGCTCTCTAATAATCAAAAAATTTTAAATTAAAAGTACTAATTTAATTTTAATAATTTTGGAATATTTTCCTATATTTTAGTCTCTATGGAGCATATGTCATGATTTTAATGTCTCAAGGTTTGGGTGTTGTAACTATAGGGTCACAGTAAGTTGGAGGAAACTTGACAGCATGTAACATGACTATTTTAACTAAAATAAATTGTCATCTCGATTAGATTTAGATAAAGAAGGAATGAAAACTGGTTGAAGTAGCATCAATAATTTAAGATGATGACCACCATCATCATCTTAGAATTGAAAAGCTGGAAGGGACCCTATGGATCATCGAGTCCAGCCCTGTAAAGGAGGCCCAGTGGGGAATCAAACTCACAGCCTGAGCTATCCAGCAGTTCTGCAGATGATGGCCATGTTGCTGTTGAAATGACAACAGTGGAAAATTAATGAAGAAAGGCTAAAAGCAGGATCACAAAAGAGGTCTTGTGATTAAGTAACTCCACTTCATGGAGGTGAGAATTGAGAACACAGTCCCCTTTCCCTTATTTAAGTTCATCAGAGAATAGCCGCTCTGAGCGGTCTGTGATAGCGGTCCCCAACCTATTTGGGACAACAGACCGTTTGGGAGAGGTGCAGGCTCTGTGCGTGGGGGGTCAGACTTGTATGAACAGATGTGAAAGCTAGACCACAATGAAAGCTGATCCACCCGCCCACAAACCCAGTTCATTGAAAATTTGGTGTTAGAGGAGAGCATTATGGATACTATGGACAGCCAGAAAGACCAAAGAGTGGGTGCTAGATTAAATCAAGTCTAATCTCTGTCTAGCAGCAAAAATGATGTAACTATAGCTCTCATACTTCAACGCGACATGCCCACCCATGAGTGTGTCACGCCCCTCTGTGAGCGTGACATGCCCCTGCACAAGCGCGACACGTCCACTGTGCGTGCATGCGGGGAGGTGGAGATCCAGACTCCACGGCCCAGTTCCAGGAAGCCCACGGACCGGCACCAGGCCACAGACTGGGGGTTGGGGACCCCTGGTCTATGGGATCAAGAGATGGTAGGTGTTAGAAGTAAAGTTGTGCTGTGAGCACAGGTTGGAGCACAGTTTCCTCAAGGTGTTAACAGTCTATCAACCACAACATGTCAGCTTACCATTGTTTCAGAGACTTCCCCCATTTTATCAGCACATCTGTTCCAAGAGCGGCTTCGACTTGTTTCAGTTTCCCTGGGTCAGGCAGAATGAACAATGCGGAAGCATCGCCTTTGTAGGGGAGGTGGACAACCTGGCAGGACAGTTCCTCATCATGATAAAAATTGAAATTGCTGTCTTTGTTCATCATGGGAACCTGCACTGTAGTTTGCTCATCCACAAAGAAGTCATCTTTTTGAGTAGACTCGTAATTGAAAGGATTTTTCCAGTACGCTGATGAAAAGAAAGGCATGAGACATGAGGGTACTTGCGAAAGATCTACGCCTTTTGAAACCTAATCACCATTTCACACTACCCAAATCTCAGTAATACAATAGGATTTGCATGGGGTCTTTTAAAACTGTCCCTCATGGATTTTGGTTATAGAACATCAGTGAGCCATATATGGAACCAGACTTTTCTAATTATTTCTGACTCTACATCTCAAGAAATAACGTTTCTAACTGGAATTACTGAAGGAGCTAAGCTCGTAGACGAGACATATCTAGCCAGCAGCACCCCATTTCATGTGAGTTCAGAGCCTAAACTTTAGACCTTGTGAGCTGATCTTTGTTATAGGAGTGTGGTATTTCCAGCCCATTTGGTTCTAGTCACAACGGACCCCCCCAGGGTGTGTGTGGAATTGCACACCTGAGGAGTGGAGCAGAGCTAAAAATTTAAGGAATGTTGGTCCTGACATATTGAGATGAAGTTCTTGGTTCCTCCTCATTGAGTTGACTGACTCTCTGCCAAACTACTTTCCCACTTCCCACATCAGAGTACAGTCAACATTGTGTGAATCGATGCCATTCTCTGTGAATCCTTCTGTTCTGCGGGCCTGTTTCTTCAGCAAATATTTGAGGCCCTAAACTTTGCAGCAAGAACTCTGTCTGAGCAGCAAGGGTCTAGAGCCACGGTTGCTTAAACTGTGGGCTTATAAAGGTATCTTACAATCCTGTGTAAAAATGGGAAAATTGGTCCACCTGTCTTACCTTTGAAGAAAATATAGTTTACAAGGACCACCACAACCTTTGGATCAAGTTGTTTGACTACATCAACTAATTTTCCATGGGTTTTCTTCTCTATGTAGTTATTGATCTGCTTTACAGCTTCTTCAGGTTTTTTGAAATTGGTAGGAAGAACTTCAGCATGATAAAAATGCTTGGCATCATTCAAGAACTTCTTGAGGAGTTTGTACTGATCATGTGTGAAAAGGGCATTTCCAAGGCTCAGCTCAATCTCAGCCTCTGGGCGGTTTAGCATTTGAAGGAGATGACGAAACCCTTTATGTATTTCTTGCTCACTGATCTTTGTCTGGTTAAAGCCAAGCCCTGACAGAATCTGGCTCAGTGTGGTGGATTTTGCCCCCAGTGAAAGGCAGGCAAAGGCAGTAGTGATGCTTATAGGAGAAAAGAAAATATTCTTCTCAGATTCCTCTGAAGCAATCTGATGGTAAAATCGAAAGGCAAAGTCAGCATTGCCAGGGGCTATCTTTAGGTAAGGCGGACGGCTCTGTTGTTTGGCAGGGGGAATTTCACAGATGGCAACAGCAAATAGCACAGCAAAAGTCAAACACAGATTGATAGGAGACATCCTGATCAGCAGGAGATAATCTGCAAGAAGAGAATACCACATGGATTACAACATGTAATGCTTTAATGCAAAACGTTTGTCTGCTGTTTTAACAGGAGTTACATATGCAATCTTAAGATCATACATAAGTCTCTTAAGGGGTTTTTTTTGGTATTGTTGTATGCAGATAGCACTTGCTGCCAACTTAATGGTATGGGCTCAATAAAAATTGGCGTGGTCATAAATATATTTTTTAAGAAATTCACATGGAGGAGAAAGCAAAATTAATCCATTCCTCCTTCTAGGCAGAGGTTACACTCACAGGTGGACATAACAAGCAGTCTGGACCATCCACTCACCCGCCCACTGCTGCAGCTGGCTCAGTGCTCCCTTCCAATCGCTCCGGAGCTCGCAGTCGACTAGCCACTTGTCAGCCTGGCAGGGAAGCTTGTCTTCCCTCCTTCTGCCAGGAATGGCTAGTCAACCACGAGCTCCGGAGTGATTGGAAGGGAGCACAGAGCTGGCTGCAGCAGCGGACAGGTGAGTGGACAGTCCAGCCCCAGGGGGCAAGACCCTCATTATGTCCACCTGTGTAGGGGTAGTTGTATTCATATAAGACTATGAATACCCCCATCTCTAGTTACTAATGCTTAGTTCTTCATAGAGTTTAATCACATGTAAGAAAAGAACCCCAGTTACATTGATTCTTTTCATACCTCTGTTGTACTCATACTTTTTTTTCATCCATCACATATCAGCAGGAGGAACATTGTTTTTAACTGCATCAATTCATTTCTTTCTATTTGAACCATTATTAGTAGGTAACATTGCTCTTTAATTTTGCATTAATTTGTTTTCTCTTCTTGCGGTAATCAGGCCCTGCCTGTCCTTTTCTTAAAAATTACAAAAGTGGCACTGGTTGCCCATCCGTTTCCACGTCGACTTCAAAGTGCTAATGATCACTTATAAAGCCCTAAACGGTTTGGGACCTCAGTATTTGGCAGATCGTCTTCTCCCACCCAGATCTACCCGAATCACCCACCATAGCCAGCAGGGACGGCTGAGGGACCTGACGCCAAGAGAGACTCAGAAGGAAAAAACTAGAAACCGGGCCTTCTCGGTGGTGGCCCCTCAGCTGTGGAACGCCCTCCCAACAGAAATTCGGCTGGCACCCTCGCTGGGTGTTTTTAAAAGACAATTAAAAACTTGGCTATTTAGGCAGGCCTTCCCTCCAGTCAGCTATTTCTTTTTATTTCTTCTTATCTTACCCATCTTGGTAATTTTTTCTTAAATTAATTGTTTTAATTAATATAGTAACGGTATTTTTAATGATTATATATATTTTATATTGATTTTTATGTTGTAAGCCGCCCCGAGTAGACATGGTCTAGAGGGGCGGAGTATAAATGTAATAAATAAATAAATAAAATAAATATTAGTAGAGCAATAGTGCAATATGAGTCTTCTGTCCTCCTTCCCTTTTCCCTTCACTGTTTTACCCACTCATCCCCTTTCCCTTATTTCCCTGAATATCTCTCCCTTTCATTTTCATTTTCTTTTTTGCACAGCATTGGAAGGGGGAAGTGTATGATGAAGAGTAGGGTTAAAAAGAGAGAGTAGACATTGACACGACACCCCTTTATTTATAATTCAAAGCAGGAAATCTCTCTCTTTCTCACTCTCTTTCACCCACAAGGGAGGGGGGAAGGCTACCTCCTTCAGACTGTCTCCTTCTGAGCATTGTATTGGTGTTGTTTTCACTAGTAGCAGCCATTACTAGCAAAATCAAATGGCTTCCAAATATCCCATTATTTTAAAAAGAGTACAAATACAGTGGCCATAAATTGGCCACAGTGCTCAGAAACACAACCCCTTTGCAGGGGAAAAAAGTCAACAGTAACATTCATACACGCTGGAACGATAAGGACTGGAGCAATTCATTATCGGTACAATTTCAAATAACCCTCCCAGCAGAAGGAAATAAATCACTTGCAGGGGCAAATTAATCAATGTTGGCTGTACATCATGTCAACAGAAAATTATGAAATGATCTAAAAAATCCAGCCAAATTGGTATAATGGGTTCTTTTGGCAGGTGTGATCGAGCCCATAGTCTCAATTTGAGCCCCTAAGTATTTTATTTATCTATGTTTGTAGTGCTGAATCAAGGTCACCACCTCACCCTCTTCCTGCTCAGTTCCAACAGGTTCCTAATCTTAATTAGCTTCATGGAAGGCAGGTATTAAATAGGCTAGGTGGAAAAAGCTGTATTCCTTTAGAATTGTGACACAGGTGTTCAGGCCAGGATGACATGCTGATGGGTTTAAATCCAGCAAACCTATCTCCAAACTAAATAGGGCCAAAATGTTGATTGGAATAATTTATTTTAATCACATTGGGCAGAGAGGTGGAATTAAATTTCACAGCCTAAATGAACAGATTCCTGACTGTTTTAATGAGGTTCAGTATGGCCAGGCGTGTCCCAGATCAGCACTGCACCAATGTACACTCTCTCTAACAGTCATGCTATACAGTTTTCACCAGGTATTTTGGATTCAGTCATGGAAACAGAAATGCACCCTACCACGGGCTTTTCCTGAAAAGACTCATTAGAGTGCATTGCTTTGATACTTCTTCCAGCCTTGATCCTGGTAGCTAACACTACCAGGTCCTGTTTATATCCATATCCATATGTGATTGTGATCTCTCCACAATTGTTTCCAAAGTGCCACAATGTCCACCGCCAACACTACTCTTCCTGATCTGCATCTTAACATGATAGCTCTGCTCCCATCATAACTTCATCCTGCCCTTGGTCTCCCTGTCTGGCCCTTTATTCACCTCAACACTCACCCTCTTCCCCACTTTATTTATGGTCACGTCTCTTCCTTCCTCTTCCCACCACTCCTACTCCCTAATGAAACTTCACTAATTGTGCTTGAATTTTGGTTTCCTTTTTTAAAAAATGGTAGTAGTACAAAATTAAGTACAAATTGTTCAGATGGAACCAATGACCACTTTTCCCTTCCAGGGTTCTTCAGATAGTGCTAATGCACACATCCCATTAAGATGTATTTCAATTCAAGAGCACCTGGCGAAATAATTACCGTGCTGGTCTTCTCCAAAGAAAACCCTATCCCCATTGGTGTCCTTGGTTAATACAAGAATTGTATGTTTCATGTGAAGTGGAAGTGGGCATGGCCACTGTTACAGCTGCCCTGTGCAAGAAGCTTGTACTGTTATAGTGCTAACTTTTGGCAAATTCAACTAGCTTTTCCAGATAGTACTAACAATGAAGAACACAACATCATAGTTTGCTCACCGAGATGGTATCTTGCTCTTGATCAGATGGACAGACTCACCCCAGCAGTAAAGAATAAGGCTGGCTTGGATGTACACAGTAAGAGCAGAAGCAAGACAGAACTGCCTGCTGTAGTTCTGCAATGTTCAAGGTGGTCTTAAGCAAGTTAAACACCAAAGTGGCCTTCCTCACTATGACCTCCTATTGCTTAAGCTCTAAAACATCACCAGCTGATTCTTAAAGGGAAAAATCATCCATGCGGCCTCTATTGTCAGACAGCTCCTCCTTCTATGGGTTTTCCAATAACCAATCATATTTGGTGGCATCATGCCGCAATTTTGCCGTATTGTGTAACTGACCTTTGTAAGAAATATTTCTTCTTTCTTGTAACATGGCTGGGGCTTTGTGTGTGCCTTATAGGTAGCCAATTGTGATGTGATCCATGAAGATCTTATCTGCAAGGTAGACATGGAAGGTGGCTATGAGGAAGTGGAGTGGGCATATCTGACTCCATTTCCCCATAAATCTGCCTTTTCTGAGGCATAAGTTTATACTGTTTGTTTTGAAAAGGTCTCTGAAGATCATATCTACAGGAAGGAGATGAGAGGTGCAGGGAACTGGCTCAACTGACCGGTCTTACTCCATTTTTCCATCTCCCATGCTTTGAAAATTTAGAAGTTTTCCTTTGAGGATGGGCCAGAACACCTTGGCAGAGCACATGTTTTGCATATGAAAGGTCCCAGGTTCAACCAATTTGCATGTCCAGGAACGGCTGGGTAAGTCCCACTGAGTAAGCTCTCTTCAGCCATTAACACTAACAATGTCTCCTGCTTATTCTAAAATATATATATTTATTTATTTCTTGCATTTATATGCCGCCCATCTAGACATAGTCTACTCTAAAAAGGCTTTAACTGATTTATACAGATCACCTTACTGTGTTGCATTGCATTTCATGTCAACTGTTTTTGTGTGCATTACCCAAATAATTGGGAGTGGATAAGTATTTCAGTTTTTTAAAATAAGAATGTGCAAATTTCTTCATATTTCGGATAAGAAGAATGTTATGTATTTCATTTTCCCGCCTATCTAGTCAATTGTGACCACTCTAGGTGGCTTACACACAGGCTGGCTATACTATTTCAGTTTTTTAAAATAAGAATTTGCAAATTTCTTCATATTTGGGATAAGAAGAATGTTATGTATTTCATTTTTTAAAAAAAGTGGAAGATACTGAAGCTGAACATTTTGTTCATTCAAGCCTGTTTTGAATTTCTGTGTGTTCAATTGTGTTAATGCTAATTTAAGGGTTGTCATTTATTTTTCCCTAGGTTGTTCACAATCTATACACCATTATAGGTGCTGAGCCATGTCTCCCAATGTACTGTTGGATTGGCACCTACCATCTCACCCAGGTTTCAAATTAGCACATACTAAGGTGATGAATCTTGCAGCCTCTTGCTTGGAGAGAAATGGAGAGGAAGCTCCCTTTTTTCACCCTATACGGAATATCAAAGGAAATCTTGTCTGATTTCTTCATGGTTTCATTGTCATTTTTTACTGCACAGGATTATGACAACTGCAGCACAGAATGGCCTCTTTCCAGAAGAAAATTTACCTAGAAAAGACAAGAGAAAATGCCAAGTTGAGCAGGTTTGTCAGATTTCCTGTGTAGAACAGCATCCATTCTCCTGGGAAGGCTGTCTAATATTGTGACAATTCTTGAACAGAAAGTGAGCTAGCTCAGAAATAGCTCTGTTCCCTTTCAACACCTGCACCTCTGACATCAGAAGGGCCTGCCCTCTGGTCCTAGTGTTTAATCCCCTGAATATTTCAGAGGATTGCATTCTGGTGACCTGGCAACTCTAGTTTGCTGTCACTTAACAGCCATGGCTGGGAGAGGAACCTCGCTGCCTCTCAATGGGTCACAGACACAGTTTTGGAGACTCGAAGATATGTGGCTCAAGTAGGCATCCCTAAAGACCAAAAACATGTAGCTAAGAAACTAGCTGGATAGTTCAGTGGTTTAGTTATCTAGCTGTGAAGCCAGAGGTTGGGAGTTCAATTCTCTACTGTGCCTCCTGCAAGTATAGCCAGCCTGTGTGCCCTTGGGCAAGCTCCAGAGTCTCAGGATAAACCCAGAAGAAAGGAATGGTAAACCACTTCTGAGTATGGTCTACATAGAAAATCCTAAAAAGAGTCACCCAAAGTCTGAATTGACTTCATGGCACATGATTATTATTTAAGGGCACAAAGTACATTGTCACAGTATTAATGGCTGGGCCATTAACATGAGAAATGCATAATTTGGCTGTAGATCACTTTGGTTGTAAATATATCTGGATACTAAGAAAAAGCAGTGACAAACCTAAACAGAATCTTAAAAAGCAGAGACACCACCTTGCCAACAAAGGACTTCATAGTGAAAGCTATGGTTTTTCCAGTAGCGATGTATGGAAGTGAGAGCTGGACCGTAAAGAAGGCTGACTGCCGAAGAATTGATGCTTTTGAATTGTGGTGCTGGAGGAGCCTCTTGAGAGTCCCCTGGACTGCAAAGAGAACAAACTTATCCATTTTGAAGGAAATCAACCCTGAGCGCTCACTGGAAGGACAGATCCTGAAGCTAAGGCTCCAATACTTTGGCCATTTCATGAGAAGAGAAGACTCCCTGGAAAAGACCCTGATGTTGGGAAAGTGTGAAGGCAAGAGGAGAAGGGGACGACAGAGGACGAGATGGATGGACAGTGCCATCGAAGCTACCAACATGAATTTGACCCAACTCCAGGAGGCAGTGGAAGACAGGAGGCCCCGGTGTGCTCTGGTCCATGGGGTCATGAAGAGTTGGGCATGACTTAACGACTAAACAACAACAACAACATATTAATAAAAAGTTGTTTATTTATAGTGAGGTATCTTCAGCCTATTATGCTTTTCATACTCTTTCTTACACTAATAGTAGTTATACATTTGGGAAAAGTGCATAATCTCTTTTTTAATTCTCAATTTAACACAGAAGTGGAGCAGAAAGGAGTTGTTGCATGACTTAACGACTAAACAACAACAACAACATATTAATAAAAAGTTGTTTATTTATAGTGAGGTATCTTCAGCCTATTATGCTTTTCATACTCTTTCTTACACTAATAGTAGTTATACATTTGGGAAAAGTGCATAATCTCTTTTTTAATTCTCAATTTAACACAGAAGTGGAGCAGAAAGGAGTTGTAGTTTAGTCGTGTCCAACGCTTTGTGACCCCATGGACGAGAGCACGCCAGGCCCTCCTGTCATCCACTGCCTCCCAGAATTCATGTTGGGAGCCATATCCAGTTCTAACTGTTGCTTCCTGTCCTGCATATAGATTTCTCAGGAGATAGATAAGGTGATCAGGCACTCCCATTTCTTTAAAGACTTGCCATAGTTTGCTGTGG